ATGTGCTACATGTCTTTACATACAATATTTTATAAATCTTCCCCAAAACTGTATAAATTATGTACAATTTTGTCCTTATTTTATACATGGAGAAATTAAGCCTATGAGTATTACATAAAAGCTCAAGATTACTGTCTAATGAGTAGAATGTCAATATATCCAGCTAACTGTGAGGAGGAGAGAGATCCCCACTATCCTTAGTTCTTATGTGGGCTCTTTGGCTGAACCTAGGAACACAACTAATCCAAGAGATGCTTAACAAGAGAAAAGCACTAAAACTTTTATTAAACTTATATTCACAAGATAATGAAGTATGAAGAAATGACCAAAGCACAATGCTTTTATACTTTTTATACAACAAAAATTTGTGAAGGAATGACAGGACAAATGGATATTGTGACTAGGGTAGTTAATACTAGGAATTTTATTAAGAGAGGTATATGGGCGAGGAAGGGGGAGATGTAGTAATTCGTGAAAGAAAATCATTACTTCAAAGAACTTGTTTATTCAGGTTAACTGCAGCCCTAATTATGAACCTCTGGTATTTAAAAGACATCCCTCCCAAAAAGAGTATTTTATATGTAGGGAAAGTCAGGCCAAATAACTCTTTCTGAAGTTATGTTTCCTCAAGCATTTCCAACTTCAAGTAATCTATGTGCCAGTTTAGCATATTTTGCCCTAACTCCTTCAACTCCATAGCCAGAGCTTTTAACTACTACACTCTACACAATATTATCCATTTCCTTTATTCCTGTAGGAGACTAGGGAAGGAAAATCTTAAGGTGAGTGTAAGTAGATACATAGAAGACATCAGTAGAAGAACTATATGTTATGCATTTATACATATATATATTTACTTTGTAAATGGATCTTCATTTTCTCATTTACTGTATTTTTCTCTTTTTAATTACCTTTGATAATACTGTAGTAAGTGTGTGTAGGGTGAAGGCTAAAGATAATATTCTAAGAAGGAATGAACATCTGCAAATTGCTTGTGAAGAAGGATGTGAAAAAAGAACAGAATGTTCTTGTTTATGGTGAAATAAAACAAACATGGATAAGAAATAATCAGGGACAAGTCAGGGAAGCATACAGAAGTTAAAGAAATATAATCCAATGACAAAGGGATCACTGAAAGCAAAATGGATCCCTATATTAATTACTCAAGTGAACATGACCTTGGAGCACAAAACAAATTGGATCAAGACTCAAATTAATTTAGGGACAAGTGAGATTCTCAATTCTTATATACTTTATTATATTTCTCTTTTTAAACTTGTCAGTCTGTTTCATATTTTAGGTGTCACCTATATTCTATAATATCTACATGAACTATTAAATTCCTGATATAAATATTTGGTTCGACTTTAGTGACAGGCTATTTACAAATATCCTGCTCAAACATGTAGAGAACACCTGGTATAGTTATAGTCACCTAGGAGTTACTAAAAAAGACATTTGTTAAACAAAGATGTTAGGTAGTTACTCAAATCATAATACTATGTTTCAAGGTTTATGATACTGAAAGTTTCATAATTATGGCTTAAAAATTTGAAATACTAAAGTGAAAATGTGACCCAGTGCAGAGCAAAGAGGTGACTCAGCTTATCTGATTCCAAATATATTTGGGGAGGTATGGAGGAAAGTGGTAAAACTTTAAAGAAATGTAAGATTATCAAGTTCTATGTGAGGTAAACATTCCAAAGACTTCAACTCACAAATCTATTTGATCTAATTAAACACTAACTTTTACATGAGGTAAAGTTGTAAAGAAATAATGGAACACTGATTCACTTTGAAATGTGGGGAAAAGTTGTTCTGGATCATAAGATAAAGTAGCTGAATGCACTTTTTTGGAGTCCTTGATTTTGAGATTGTAATATGATCATTAGTCGCCCTCTAGTGGATTAATTCAAATTTTTTCCTAATGATAGAAAAAGATCTGAAACCAAAAATCTTAATTATAAATATAATAAACAGCATTATTTTTCAACTTTACAAAAAAAAGATTGTACTTTTTAATAGATATGCCTTATTCCTACTTATATAATTCAAAAAAGGAAAGAACTTCTGGGTCTGTTAAATTAAAATTTCTTAATTCAATGGAAAAATAAATATATTTACAAATATATTATCTTTCACTTGATTAAAATAAAATTATTTTGTTCAAGTTTACTTGATATCAGTTTTAAAATTCTTTTGCTGTTTTATTTTCCCATTTTGATAATGTTTCATTTCTTTTGTCGTACAGAAGCTTTTTATTTCATGCAGTCCCATTTGTCAATCCTTTCTCTTAGTTGCTGAACCATTTGATTCCTATTTAGGAAATCATTGCCTATGCCTATTAATTCCAGTGTATTCCCTGCTCTTTCCTGCACTAGCCTCAAAGTTTTAGATCTTACTTTAAGGTCCTTAATCCACTTTGAGTTGATATTTGTACAGGGTGAAAGACATGTCCTGCCTGGGGGAGGCTGGTACCAGTGGGAGGAGGGAGGAAGTGGGGAAAAGGTGTGGGAAGATGAATACAGTGCAAATACTGTATACAAATGTATGTAAATGGAAAAATGATACCTGTTGAAACTATTCCAGGAATGGGGCAAAGAGGGAGAAAACGAGAATGTTGGAAGGGATGAATTCAAGTGTGATTATATTTGATATATTATAATAACTTTTGTAAATGCCACAATGTACCCCCACCCAGTACAGCAATAAAAATAAATAAAATTCTTAGTGAAAAAAGTAATTGTTTCATGGTAAAATTAATTTTCTCAGTGGAAAGCTTAGAAATAACTAAGACGTGCTTGATGAATGGGGAAAGAATGGATAAATGTCCACTAGAATTTATTATTTACAACTAGTTACAATGTTTCATTAAGAGCTGACACAGGGCTGGCAGAGTAGCTCAAGTGGTAGAACATCTGCCTAGCAAGTATGAGGTCCTGAGTTCAAACCCCAGTATTGCAAAAAAAAAAATGTTGGTGTAAAAAAAAAGTTAATCTCATATGTGGTTTTAAAATTTTTAGAATAAAGATATATATTTTAAAATGTAACTTCACACTCAGAGAAAGGTTGCAAGAATCATACAAAAATTTCTTAGATACCTTTCACCCATATATTAACAAATATTAGCATTTTCCTACACTTTCATATTTGTTTTAATCTCTCACATATATAACAGTTTTTGATTAAGAGTTGAGGACATGATATTTCCTTACCAGTCAATGCTTCAATGAGTGTTGAAGACTTCTTACACATAACTTACAGAAATTAGCATTGACGTGAGAGTATTATTTAATCTATCTGCCCTGTTCGGATCTCACTGGTTGTCATACTTTAATTTTTGCCCTTTTTGCAAAAGAAAATACAAGATTATTACTGAAACCTGAGGGGAAAAAAAGAAAATCCAAGATTCTGTGCTGGATTAAGTTATATGTCTACCTTTAACTGGAACAATTCCTCAGTCTTCCTTTGTGTTGTCATTGTTGAAGAATGCAGCTATTTAGGTTTGTCTAAGGTTTTCTCATGCTTATTCTCAAGTTGTGACCTTAAGCCAGTATGAGTTCTTCTCCATGCATTGGCTAAAGAGAAATATACTGTCAATTGTTTCCATTACTGGCAGTGTTATGTGGATACTTCCATACTGAAAAGTTATTGTTTTACTCTTTATGATGAATAAGGATCCTGCAGATAAATACTTTGAGATTTTGTAAATATCTTATTCTCAAACTTTTACTCACTTTTTGGCCAGCCATTGGTGATTCTTGGCTGAATCAGTTATTATATACTAATTAGAAAATGTTAATCACTAATTCTATTTTACATCTATAGTAAAGAGCAAGCTTTACATCTACAGTAAGAAAGAGCTTTCTTATACCAAAGAGTCATGAGGTGCTCAAAGAATGATGGAGCATATATAAAGGATCTGTGATCCAGATGGCCAAACTTGGAACACTTTAACCATCAAAATATCAAAATAACAGGGAAATAGCTCAGGTGGTAGAGCACCTGCCTAGTAAGTGTAAGTCCTTGAGTTCAAACCATAGTACCACCAAAAACAACAATAACAACATAAAAAATGGAATGAACTATCAAATACAAAAGTAAAATCCATTAATTGGTGCTGATAAAAATTATAAAACAACAACTAATAAATGGGCAGAGGAAAAGAAAGCTCTTTCTTACTATCATACAAAAAATTTCCAGAGGAAAAGAACCAATAGAATATATACAATTGTGAGGGACTTTATTAGACTAGATTACACAGCCATAGATTGTATAGTCCAATAATATCCACCCACATTCTGGAGAGTCAGGGAAAACATAGCTGTTCAGTCCAAGAAGCTGGAGGCATCAGAACAAGAGGGACCAATGATTCTATCCCCATCTGAGGCTGAAGTCTTGGAAGCCCCTAGAGAGTTGCTGGAGTGAGAGTGCATCCAAAGGTTGAAGAATCTGGATTCTGTTGTCTGGGGCAATGGCAGCAACAAAGACATGTACCCACTCAAAAATGTTCAGAGGATAGGTACTGGGCAAGTTTCCCCTTCTTCAACTTTTTGTTCTATCCATTTCTCCAGTCTAATGGTCAGTGCTGCCCACATTCAGGGTGGATCTTCCTCCCTCAGTTGGCTTACTCAGGTGCCAAATATCTTTCTAGGAACACCCAATGTTCTAGGTATCTCTCAACCCAATCAAGTTGACAGCTGAGATTATCCAACACAAATGATTATCCATCATTTGTTGGTATGATAACTATGAAAGGTTGAAGTAATTCCCCAAATCTCCAAAATCCTATAGTTCCATTCTCATGTACTCAAATATATTTTAAGTAACATCCATTTATAAGTCTTCAGAGAAATGCCAAAAAATCATACCAAGAAGCTTAAAAATTACTTTAGGTTAAAAACATGTTAGAAGGATAGTAGAATACGGGAGAGAAAGCTTTCAAATACTGTTTGAAAAAAGTAACATAATTTTTTACTTTCTTATTTCTCATGCAGCTATATATCTTCAGGATGGTCCACCTAGCAGATGGTTCTGGGCAGACAGAGGTTTTTTCTCAATGTGTAACACACTGCAGTTTTCCACAATGGTGGCATCAAGCCTTTTATAACTTCTTCACCTTCAGCTGCCTCTTCATTATCCCTCTTCTCATCATGCTGATGTGCAATGCAAAAATCATCTTCACTCTGACACAGGTCCTACATCAGGATCCCCGCAGTATGTATTCCCTAGATTTAGTGTTAAATGTGGGCAAACAATTTTAAACAACAGCACTAAGGCAGAGCGGCACTTACTATGTGCCAGATACTGTTCTAAGCAATTTATGTGTATTAGTTATTTAATATATTACCCCATGAGATAATACTTTTGTTATACCCCAATTTACAGAACAGATCTGCTAATATCTTCTGATATTCTAAATTTGCACCATGAAATTAAAGAAGAAATTACTCCATTAAAACCCAAGATAAGCACTGGAAAATTGCTCCTGTATGGCCAATACACTAAATACCTGGTATCTAGAAAATAGCAGTAGACCTGTGAAACTGTTTTGTTTTATATTCAAATCCCTTGTATCCACAATATAAATTATGCATGCTATGTGTATAGATATTGTCAAAAGGAAGTAATGACAGTGATGTTCTATAAGTTTTCACTTACCAGCACAAAATATTTTCTATCATTTTGTAGTATAATATATTATAAAATAGCATACTGCAAAATATAATTTGTCTTCAAAATCTTATCTAAGAAAGATTCAATCACATAAGGACTACCTAAGAAGGGCACAGGGGGAATAAAAACATGAATCCAAAGCAGGAGTTAATCTGAAGAATTATGAGCAGTGCAGAAGCAGAAAAACTAAAAAGCAGAAACAGGGAGTGATAAATAGCACACTTATTCATTTGCTTTTTTATTTATTCAAATAATATGTACTGGTTACTTGATACTGATGGAAACTGTTAGGTGGGATACTTATGAGCAACACAAATCTAGTGATTATCCTGCTTTCACAGGACCTACAGTCCAGTAGCAAAGTCAGACAGTAAACAGTAAACCAAGAATCAAGTGGAAAGACATTTCAAAAGAGGCAAAGAAGTCAGGCATCAGTGGATCAGACCTGTAATCCTAGAAACTCAGTAGACAGATCAGGAGGATTGCAGTTTGAAGCCAGTCCAGGCAAATAGTTCATGAGACCCTATCTAAAAAAAAAAAAAAAATCACAAAAAAGGGATGGTAGAATTGCTCAAGGTGTAGAGATTGATTTCAAACTTCAGCACCACAAAAAAAAGGCAAATGTCTATATTTTTCATATTCAGCCACTGTGCTAAACCAAAACCATTTTTGAATGTGCCTGTTCCTAATGACTGCTTTGTTATTTTTTAATTCCTCTAACATTTACAAATATTGAGGATTACAAGAAATAATGTGTGAAAATAGCAAGGCAGGTAGGAAACGGTAATTATTTTTGTCTCACCAAAATTCCATAATTACTTATTTTAACATTTCTAGTCAAAAAATTAATTTTATAATTAAAATATCAGGAATGCTTTTCTCTGTAATTCTATTCTTTGTTGATTAATGAAGTTGCAAAATCACTATTTCTGAAGAGCACTATCTGTTTGCCTGAAAAAATAGTATTTAAAGAATATTTCTCATTTTAAAATAATACTTCTGGATTATGAAATACAAGAACATATTTTTAACACTTAAAATTTTTAACATTAAGTCTAAGACCTTAACTTCAGAGAAGAATCCTGACTATTAAAGTCAGTTATTGCATTCACTTCAGAAACTTTTTTCACAACAGTAACCTATAAACTTTAAAATATATATACATGAAAAGTGAAATAATTTTGAATATCATAGGAAGAACATACACTTGAAGTAAATAATTTGGGGCAGCATACTTTTACCCATACACAATTTTACTGGCCAGTTAATAAAATTCTGTGTAAAGTCAGAATTCAACTCAGTTCAACCTCTACTTTCTCAATTTTATATTTTAATTGTTTGAGTATCCCATATTTCATTTCCTGATTCATTTGATGGAACTTAACTTTAGAAATACTCTCTTCTTTAATCTTTTCTATTCATTATGAAGTATAGTGGACAACTTAGTATAAAAGCATGCTTTTTAAAAAAAATTGAGATGGGGTCTTTTCACTATGAGGACCAGGCTAGCCTTAAACTCACAATCCTCCTATCTCAGCCTCCAGAACACTGGGTTTACAGATATGTGCCACCATGCCTAGCATACAAAAAATGCTATTTAAACAAATTATCATTACTAAAAATACTGGTGATTTTCTTTCACTATATTCCATGGTTGAATTAGTAATTCTCTCTTCCTTTTTGACCATTTTGGTTTTGTAAGAAAAGTATCTTTAAACAACTACTCTTTTTTTCTGTTTAATAGAACTACAGCTGAATCAATCCAAGAACAACATTCCAAGAGCCCGGCTGAGGACCTTAAAGATGACAGTTGCATTTGCCACTTCATTTATTGTCTGTTGGACTCCCTACTATGTCTTAGGAATTTGGTATTGGTTTGATCCTGAGATGTTAAACAGAGTGTCAGAACCAGTAAATCACTTCTTCTTTCTCTTTGCCTTTTTAAACCCATGCTTTGATCCACTTATATATGGATATTTCTCCCTGTAACTGATAGACTACACAAAAGTAATGAAAAGAAAGGCAAGGTAATAAATTTCCCCCATTTGAGAATGATAAACACAAAGGTTATAACATATTTACACATAAATAAATCAGGATTTAAGCTTAAGTTATCTTTATTCTTTTAGAAATCACATTGTCAGAGTTGCAGTTAAAAGGAAAAACAGAACTTCAGGAAATATACTGAGATTTGTCTTTTAATCATAAGATTCTAAATTAATCTCTGCCCTTTCTTACCTCCTATCGCACATACATATTATTAGTGGGGCTGAAGTTTCAACTCAGAGCTTCGTGCTTGCAAAGCAGGCTCTCTACCCCTAGAGCCACAATTCCAGTCCATTTTTCTCTGGTTATTTTGGAGATGGGGCTCAAAAATTATTTGTCCATGCTGGCCTCAAACTGCAATCCTCCCAATTTCAGTCTACCAAGTGACTGGGATTATAGGCCTGAGTCAGCAGTGCCTGGTTTCCTGTTACGTATTATTTGGATTTCTTTTCACTTCCTCTGAATAATATAATGTATAAATACTTAACCACAGCCTACAGCAAAGAGATGAAAAATGGAAGGCTGAGAGACTACAACATAGTCCCAACCTCATCATGCTTTGGAGAGTTTTTCTCCAAAAGGGGCTTAGCTGAAAAAAAAAAATCTTAACAATGCCAAGAGTTTATAGAGAAGGACACTCTTCATGGGATCAATTTTCCCTTCTGTGATTAAAAGAGAGGAAAAAACCAAAGGACATAATTTTCTTTTTGACTTCAAAAGCATTCTGAAACCTATAGTCCTCAGCAACCAACCCCACCATTCATTCCACACCCTGGCACAGACCCTTTCATTTACATGGTACAGGATATGAACTGCCTATATTTAGGGCTGGGGGAAGTAAGAAGGGTTAGGTTTGGGCAGGGGTTTTAGAATATTCTGCTAGGCTGTACAATCTATAAAGTCTATGGTAACTGCCATAATAATAACAGTGTTTTTAAATATAATTAAGAAAAGATACATACTGGTTATATTTTATATATAATAGACCTTCCATTTTAGTAATTTGAGTTTTTGTCTCTCTCCTTATCCTTCTAAATGCATAATCCATAAATCACTGAGGAAAATCAATACAAAATCAAGCAAATGCACAAGCAAAAAGATGTTTGAGACATGTGTCTTGTTTTATTTAATTCAGGACTGTATCTATCTCTTTTATGAAAAATAGGAAGAGAAGATACTAATGAAGTATAATATTCATTTAGTGAGAACAATGTAAGGGATTTAAAGTAAATTCAATTGTTATTTAATGTTTTTAAATTGATAAGATACTTCTACTATATTCATATGAACTGTATAAAGCCATGCAAAAGATAAAACCAATTTCCAAATATCCCAGGTTATGCAAAATTGTGGAAAACAAATTGCTAACTAATGTAAGCCTTCTTTTACTTATTTTTCTCCTCTTGCACTTTCAGTTTTATAGTATTATGGGATTTTTTTTTCATATCCTCTCTTATTTCCTAATTCTGTCCCAATTAACCTTGTTCTGTCTACTCTTCCTTTCATATCTTTTTTCTTATTCAACTTGTAACTAACCGATCCATGGCCCAACTCTACAGATGAATTGGGTGAGGCTCTAAATTTGCAGTGTGCAGAAATGCTCAAGGTTTGCATGGCTACTCATGTCAAGACTGTATAGTCCTGCTAGATGACACAGGGATGTAGATAATTCACAACAAAACCAACCTTCTACAAGGTTTTTTTTTTAATCACATTCGTATTCCTATACTGATAACTCTTCTGAATTTAAAAGCAAAAACAACCCACATGTACAAATTACACATGTAAAACCTAAGGGCTTTATTACATATGCATTCAAAGAATGAATCTCACATGGGTTCTTATGTGAAACTGTTCCACTCAGGCACAATTTTAGTACATTTACTAAAGGGCTATTTGAAGTCTGGATACAGGTATCCTTAACCTGTAGTTCAAGTACAGAACTATATCCAATATAATCGCCATTGTTTTAGTACTATTAGTATTATTTTATGCATTTAAAAACAATCCAGAGAGGAGGTTTATAGACTACACCAGACTGCCAAAAATAAAGCACAAAAAAGATTAAGAATCTATGCTTGATTTTGTATAAGAAAGTTTATAATAAAAATGTGTCCAAGTATATTTGTTTATAGACGTGCACAATAATGTTAACAATGATACTATGTTGCTTCAATATTCTTTTTTTTGTGGTACTGGGTTTGAATTTCTTACTTGACAAGTTGAACCACACCTCCAACCCTGCTTCAATATTCTTAATCATTCTTTTTAAACTGAGAAACTCTTTGTTGTTATTGTTTTTGTTTTGGGGTACTTTTTGGCAGAACTTGGGTTTGAACTCAAGGCCTTGTGCTTGCTAGGCATAAACTGAGAAACTTTTAAGGCTTAATATAAGGTACAATATGTTATGAGAAACTTCGTAAGTATTCTATATCAGTATTGTGGTCCATACATTATAATATGGACATGGATTTAAATTAAAATTCATAATCCATAAATTAAATATGACTTTTCAATTAAAGATACATCACTTACCAGAAAGTATTTCACATATATTTATTTCATTCAGTTATTTGGTTATTCAATTGATAATTATAATAAAAATGAAGACTGTAAAAAAAGGAAATATTGTGCACAATGAATCAAAGATATCAGGTAATTAAGATTCTATCTTGATTTTCTTCATTACTTAACTTATTAAACTAGTTAAAATTGTATTTCTTTCAGAAATTCAGTTTAGTTAAGAATTGACATAAACTAGTAACAATGAACTAAGTAAAGATTATATTAATTCAATTTCAGCCTATTATACAGAGATATAGCTTAAAAAAATACTCTTGGTGGTGGGGAGGCAGGTATCACAGACATCTTCTAGGGAGTATAAATCAGCATAAATGAGTTAGGAATGTCCTTAGAGTGGCCTCATCTCAGAACTTACATTGTAGTCATAAAGAAATAAGATTTGGAGAGTGTGTGATGGTTCATGCCTATAATCACAGCTAAATGGGAGGCAGAGATAAGAGGATCACAGTTTGAGGCCATCTTAGGCAAAAAAATTAGAGAGAACTTATAGTGAAAACAAACTGGCCATGGTGGCACATATCTGCAATCCAGGTATGTGGGAAGTAGAGGTAGGAAGATCATGGTCCAAGGCCAGCCAGGTCAAAAGCACTTGACCCTACCTGAAAAATAAATTAAAAAGGACTGGGACATGACTCAAGTGATAGAGTACTTGCCAAGGAAGCATGAGACAGACCCTGAATTCAAACCCCAACACTGTCAAAAAGAAAAATGGAGGAAGGCAGTAAAAATATTTATAGAATTTCATCTATTTTTACCTATGGCCTAGTTTCAAATGTTGAAACAATTCTTAGAGCTTTGTTAACTACTATAAAGCATTTCCACATGGGGAAAAAGAATAAAGGAATATAGTCCCATTTAATTTTGCTTATCATTTTTATGATTAAGTTAAAAATTAGATTTAAAGTGACAATCTAATTTTAGAAATTATATAATATATAAAATGCATGCATAAAAACATATGACACATGCAGAACATGTTGATGTGTTTATTGCGGAGTGATTTTTTAAATTTTTATTCCTTGTGAATGTCTGTAATTCCAAATTCTCCAAATAAACATATGCTGCTCTTGTAATGAGAAAAAATCAGAATAACTATTATAGGTTATTTTATTTTATGCAGCACTGTTTCTGTTAGAATGCTTTCTGCTATAAGAACTAGAAATATCAATCTAGAAATGGCATTTTTCCATCTGATGTCACAGGATGTCCAGAGGTAAGCATGTTGTTAGTTAACTCAGAGCTTTGCAACAGCTTCTTATAATCACCAATTAACTTCCCAAACCAAATCCAAGACTTATATATTTATCACAAATTAAAAAGTGCACAATTTAAATATAAAATATAAAAACTAAATGCAGTTTTAGGAACATGCTAACTGCAAAAAAAAATGCATCCCTACGAAAAGAACAGATTTCCCTTGTTTTTTGTAATTTAAACCTAAGTATTTAAAACTCTAGTGTCTGGAATATTCATCTGATATCAAGGGTAGATTCTGCCTAATTATTGACTTTCTTGAGCAGTCTTAGTTCTTGTTTTTATTTTTCTTTATTAGTATGTCCATTTGTCTGTTTATATAATTAGTCCACTGGATAAGAAATTTTCCGTAAGTTTTTAAAAATTCTAGCTATTAGTTCAGATTCAGAGAAAAATTGCCAAGTAAGTTAATAAATAACTGCAACTTAAAGTGAATTTCCCACAAAGCTGATCAATTTTGAAGCTCCTCATTTATTCTGTCTGCTCTGTGGTCCTGGAAAACATACTTCACACATGGGCAGGATACTTGGCTTAAGCAGTAAGTGCCTGTCAAGTGCAAAGCTCTCATTCAAAAACTCAGTACACCAAATAAGTAAATAAATTCAAAGTCACATGTTGTTATAAAATTCATTTAAATAAGATTTTTTTAATTGCAATTGATTAATACCATCTCTTTCCATTCTTATTTCCCTCTTTCTCACACTTCCCTTCAGCTGAGGTGGTGTTGGGTTGGCCATGGAATCTTTAGAGTAAAGCCAAGGGGAAACTAAATTAGGGATATCTTTAGATTAGATCTAGAGGCTTATTATGTGGTTCTTGGTCACTTTCATGTATTAAGTCATTGCTAACCATCACAGTAAGCTTCTAAACATAAGTACTAGATAAAACACTTGTTTTACTGACTTATGTCTTGTAATGACAGGAAAGTGTAGGAGCTTATGTCATATCATGATATAAATGTATCTAGAAATATGGCACCCAAAAATATGTGAACTGCAGTGAGAGAGAAGCAAAATATAGAATATATAGAACTCAGTCTATGTAAAATTCTGTCAATCCTTAGTAAGTCACACCCTTGTACAATCTCCTGTGACTTGAAACCTGTGACTTGCTTCCACCATACTTTACCAATAGCAAATTAATAGGATGTTATTCCCTAGATTAGGTGACATTATAAAGCAAAGGTAATAGAATGTCACTCTTATGTTATACTATATATATATTACAAAACTGGAGTAAGAACTTCTGCTGCCTTTTAAGAAGCAAACAACCATGAGGTAAATTGACTTTGCAAAGATTGGGTTTCTGTGTCACCAAGCCCACAACTCTTTCTTTTGCAGTGCCTAGACTTTCTTACTACTTTCTGTAA